CCCCAAAACCCCAAAACCCCAAAACCCCTGTTGCATAATTTATGCCAAAATAAAGTAATGAAATTAAGCTAATTAATTACTATGAATTCATTATTCAAGCATTTAACCATTCATTTAGATATTGACAACTTCTAGGGTTAATTAAATTACTCGGTCCGCATTCATTTCTTACTGGGCAGTGGGCACAGGGAGTTTGAGTGTAATATACTTGATGGGGGTACTTATTATTGCTAAGTTTATAAATTGCGTTTTCTCCAGATTAAATACTTGGACCTGCTAAAGAATAAGTTTGCTCAATTAATTAGTCATAAACCAATACTTGAATGATCTGTTTTATATCTTCATCTCTAAATTCTTAGCCTTATGGAATGACTCCAATTTATTTTATGTGTAGACTGAGCTCTCTGTATGAAGTCTAACCTGATTTCCTTAAGTATTCAACTACTCTATCCTGTATTACTTCTATCAATTTTAAGTTAAAGTTGTCCTAGCCAATCATTCCTCCAGTTACCTCTGAGGACGGTTCAACTTCCATAAGCATCCAAACCAATCTATTTTTCTGCTGAAGAGATTTAATTTTCTTGACGAGTCCTTTCTTTTCTAGGTTTTTAAGTATCTTATTCAATATTGCAGAATTAAAGCCCTAGGGCATCAGCTTTGTCTTTAGATCTTATGTTTGTATGCCTTTGTCTCTTGATTCTTCAATTAACTAATAAACAAGAACGTCTTCTGGCAGAAGATCTCTCAGTTTAAGAGCCTAATCCTCACTCTGATACTTATACACAGGTTGTCCTTTGCCTGAAACAAATAAAATTACTCTGTTATTATCAATCAATCTGTTGAGAGAGATAACTTTTTAAGCCTCATCAATATCCTTAAGAGCAACTGTTAAAAGCTAGTCTTCAACCCCATCTGGATTGGATTGTAAAATTCTGAGAATTCTTGATTCGGTGTCTTCCATTGCAATGGATTAATTTATTTTATAATAGAATTATTACTATAATATATAATTAGCCAGACCAATGGAAGAAAACTAAATAGTATAATCATCACTAAGTCAATAACACAGCTAACCTAAAATTTACAAGGGATCCTCAAATATGGCCAATCAATTTGAGTAGAAATTAAAGAACGATTTCAACATAGACCTAGATAAGCTTGAGTAAGCTTGCTCTATTCTACCTCAGAACTATTCATTTGAGATTCATAAAACAATTAGTCGAATTTTGGAAGTGAAGAAAACATCTACAAAGGACAGATTAAAAGTATCTCTCTAATTTCCAGAGGGATTACTTTTGTTCGCAACCCTTATAGCAGATATCATTACAAAGTTTTGCAAAAGCCCTGAGAAGGATGATATGGAATGCTTAATACTTGGCGATGTTACCTACGGTGCTTGCTGTGTAGATGATTTAGCATCAAAAGCATTAGATTGTGATTTTATTGTTCATTATGGCCATAGTTGTCTTGTACCGATATAAGATCTAAGCATTAAGAATGCTCTTTATGTATTTGTTGAAATTCAAATTGACATTGATCACTTTATTCAAACTATAGCCTTCAACTTTAAACCTGACTAATCGATCTACTTAATGGGAACAATTTAGTTCAATAAAATCATTTTCATTGCTAAGACAGTACTTGAGAAGGAGCCCAATAACTACAAAAATATCAAAATACCCTAAACTAAGCCAAGATCTGGAGGAGAGGTGCTAGGTTGTACTTCACCTGCATTACCACAGTAGGGTGAAAATCTCAGTGAATCAGTAATCTTTATTAGTGATGGCAGATTTCATATAGAGAGTACTATGATAAAAAATCCTCATTTAAAGTTTTTCTAATACAACCCTTATTCAAAATAAATGACAGAGGAAGTTTATGTTCATGAGGAGATGCATAGAATTAGAAGAGCTGAAGTTGAGAAAGCTAAAAAAGCAAGTATGTTTGGCATTGTATTTGGAACACTTGGAAGATAGGGAAATCAAGGACTGCTGAAAGACATGGAAGAACTGTTAAGGAACAATGGCAAGAAATTCTTCGTCCTTTTCCTGTCAGAGATTTCAGTTGATAAATTAAAGAAATTCAAAAATGTCGAGGCTTGGATTTAAATTGCTTGTCCAAGACTATCAGTAGACTGGGGTCATCATTACGACAAACCACTTCTAAACACTTATGAAGCTCATACTGCAATGAATGAAATAGAATGGCAGAATATCTACCCAATGGATTATTATAGCTATGAAGGAGGATAATGGAGTAATTATTTTAAACAAGAGTAAGAGAGAAAATAAAGAGTAGCTGAAAGGAAAAATAAGGGCTAAGTCAAAATAGAATATGAAATAGAACAGTAGTCTTGACTAATTTAAGAAATAATGATTTCATTTAATTAATTAAAAGTAATCCTAATTAAATTTTAATTGCATAAATTATCTTAATAAAATGAATGAAAATCTCTCTAGAAATAGCTGGGGAAATACCTTTCTAAAACCTGTATACTACAATTCATTCTTAATTGAAAATTTAGAGTGCAAATTAGTCATAGATAATAAAAGAGACTAGGAATAAAAAAATATTCAATATGTTCAGAACTACTGAACAATAAGACATATTTGTAAATTAATTTTTCTATTCATCTAATTCTTAATAGACTTAAGATTCCCCTAATAAAAAGAACATTAAAAATATGTCATCGTTTAATAAGGGATTGACTTTGGATTCGTAAGTAAAATACTCCAAAGTGGTCTTTGAAAATAAGTCAAACTCAAATATCTTTTTTGAGGATTCATCAGTTGATCTAGGAATTTCCTCAGCTCGATCATCAAATAAAAAGCATCATTAAATTGCAGCTGATCTTTTGAATAGAAATCCTTTGAAAGGAGATACCTTGCCTGATCAAAACACAGTTTCTCGTAAAAAGGCAGTAGAGTACAAACCCTCTAAAATCTTAGAAGATTTGAATAAAAAGCAGCTATTTATGCATAATGAAATGAAAAGTTTAGAGGAAATGAAAAAAACCAGAAAATATAAAGTTATGGAATAGAGACTTAAAAGTTCAGTATTTGATTCATTTATAAAACAAGACGATCTCAACTAAACAGAAACAAAAGCTTTAAGAGCTCAAGGAACATTCAATTAAACCTCAAAAACTTAAATGAACTCATTGCTATCATACAAAGGAGTGCCTAAGTTTAGAGAAGAATAAATTCAATCTAAGATCAATTAGGAAAGTCACAAAGACGCTTTGAAAAATACTCTATAATAAATTATCAACATGAAAACTCAGCCTAAAATGACAAAGAGCAAGGAATTAGCTTCCAATATTTTTTGAATTGCAAATATATGTATTTATTTACTTCTTTGAATGCATTTTAATCTTTAGGGGTTTTGGGGTTTTGGGGTTTTGGGGTTTTGGGG